CACCAGCAGCTATGTTCACTGTGGCATTACACAGGTTGGGAAGGTACAGTCTCTAGATTGGTTACTTCTGCTACTCCAAAGGCAGAACTCAGTCTTCTATGGACCAGCGCGATACAAGATGCACAATCAGAGGAAGAGAAGTGGCCAATACTGACTTGAACTAGCATTAGCTCTCCTGCATTTCCCATTTCTAGGAAATGCACAAAACTAAACAGGCCTGGCACGTAGCCTATGGCTGGCCAAAACTCCACCAACAAACACTTACGACAGGTGCTGGCTCTCACCCAAGGGAGGCCCACAGCCTTCCAACTCCACCTCGTGACTCAAGGTTGTCCCTGTGACACGATTGGGCAGCAGTTCAGCATTCTGCTGAATCACGCGTGACGCAGAGAGCTGGTAACACTGGAAAGGTGGAAATTCTATTAATATATGACAGTTACTACCCTATTGTTGGAGCAGAAAAGGTTCGTAGAGAAAGACTGGCCATTGCTTTGTAGCCTCCATTTCTGATACAAAAATTCAGCATTTCCACATTGCTCTAGCTGTGATAGAAAAAAAAAACAACAACATGTAAATAAGCCGAATTTTTGGGAGCATGGTTCAACCTGACTACTAAATTAGAGAGTAATAACATTCCCAAAATACCAACAACGAATTAACAACGACCGTGAAGCAGCTGTCTTCTACATAGCTGCCATATTTCCAGTCTTGCTAAGTACCAAACGGGCAGAATAAATCTTTAGGATCCTGTCCTCACAGCACCACCTCGTGGTGAACGTACAAGAACCCAAGCCCCAGCAAAGCCTACAACTCAAACGCATTCAAACATACTGTCTAAAACTGTGATAAAGCAATTTTTAAATAATACCACATCTAGTACATGAGGTCACGTTTTATTCCTCTCCACCTTCCTGCCTCAAGGATTCCATTCCAGCTCACACCACATTTCTGATACTATTGAACTGCTACAATCCTAACAAGTTTATACCACGTAACACCAAAATTCATGGCACAGACTTGACACGAAGCACTGCACCAGGTTCAAATCACTGCTCTCACACAACTCTATTGGAAACAGCCATGGTTGCTCCTCCTATGCCTTCAAGCACACATTATAACACAAGCTCACATCATGCTCTGGTTTTCTCCATCACAACCAAACAGTAACACAACAAATTAGTGCTGCTTTCTCATTATTACAGCCTCTGAAGGTCTTAAATATATCAGATATGCTTATTCTTATTTGAAGTTAAGTCTATCAATTTAGCAGTTTTTAAGTACTGTTACTGCTCTACATACACACATTAAAACCCAAAAGTTACTGTGCAAAAGTCATGGAAAATTAATTGGCTCCACTCAAGCACCAGATAACAGCAGACACTGCTCTTACACGGGGTACAGCCAGAAGAATGAGATGGCCAGAAAGCTCATGTGTACTGAGAGGTAACTGTAGGTAACTGACAGAGATGAGTGATTTTGTATATAATACTATCATGAGTAACTTGGCCAACAAAGGCACTGGCTGTGCACATTTTCCCCATTTCTCTTCCCATTGCAAAATTAGATGTTTATGCACAAGTTAGTGGCACAATGGAATTACCAGCTTGCATCCATTCAGGGTTTAAGGAGACAAACTCAGCTGCTCTTCAAAGCTTTACCACGCTAGTTGCTTCTGATGAGAGTCCAAGATGAACTGATAAAGGTTGCCCAAGGAGGTTGTGGATGCCCCATCCTTGGAGGCATTCAAGGCCAGGCTGGATGTGGCTCTGGGCAGCCTGGTCTGCTGGTTGGTGACCCTGCACATAGCAGGGGATTGGAACCAGATGGTCGTTGTTGTCTTTTTCAACCCAGGCCATACTACGATAAGATTCTATTAAGGCAGATCTTTCCAACGCTTAGGTTTTATACTTGTAGAGACAGATGTGAGCTGAAGTATACAATAACGTTGCCCTACATAGAAAAAACAGGCTTCGTGAAATAAACACAAATAAATAGCCAATCAGAAAAAAACAGCTTGTTCCAAACAACTTGGACAATCTGTACGCTGCCAGAAAACATTCACAACAGTTGGGTATATCTGTATTTAACTGAGTTATTTCCACCTAGGACAAGATATGCTCTGTTTAATAAAGAACACTCTTGAGCACGCCAAATACAATTCCAGAAGTCAGAAAGGTAAATGTTATTACCAGAAAGCTCCTGCTAATTTAACTGTGGCTGCTTTTTCCAGCTGCTGCAGATCCTACCAGTCTGTTACCTGGAAGTTTGGGAAGCTGGTGCCACGAACATGATACAATGCATGAACGCTTAGACATTATTGAAGAGGTAAGAGCTGCAGCACTGGTTCCAGGAATACACTAAACCTCTTGGCTAAAGAAAATGCTGTAATATAAATGCTGTATTTTAAGTCTTGCCAAACACAATTCTAATACTTGTGCCACTAGAGGCCAGTATAACTGTAAAAACACATTAAATTGCAATGAACAACAAAATCAGCTGTTAGTAGCATGGGACAGCAAGACACCTCTTGAACTAAGACATCTGGTACACAATTCCTTCCATTTGACTCCGACTGCCCCCCTCTACATTTGTTATCCTTTTTTTCCTCCATTAGAAGGTAATAAAAACTGTGGAGCATCTAGAATCAGAAGTCAAATCACTCCTCAGTATCATCAGTGAGACAACATCAGACCTCCCCATTGCCGCAGGAACCCCACTGATAGACATTTTTGATGGTAAGTATCTAGTGGGATATAAGCTAAGCCAACATGAATGTTGCATGTGCTATTCCAAATGCCATCCTCTTTCCACATTAGATGAGAAATAACTCATTCACTCAATTCAATTGACTCAATTCACTCAATTCAGTGCAGTGAAGGCTTCAGTTCAAACACAGGGTTCAGTTTTGGACAGTGCCACAACCAGCACTAAAGAGAGGGGAACAAAGTTAAGTGAACAAACCAGGCATGGAGCTAGATATAGGAGATACAAAGAAAGGCTGATCAACTGGGGATATTAACATAGTCCAATTGAGTTTGAAATGGCCCATCTGAGTAAGGCTGCTGCAAAGTCAAAAGCTCCACTTCCTCACCACTGCAAAAGTGGATAAAACAAGAACTAATGCAGCAAAACAGACTCAAGTAAAAGACAATACATAACTTAGTTCCAAGAACAATGAACCTCTGCAATGATATGTCTGTAGCTTCCCCAGCAATGAAATGCTAGAGAGCACTCTGTTCTCTTGAGTCTCTGCCTATCAGTAGTTCATTTAAAAGAGACACTGCTGGTAGAGAGTATACCTCTTGTAGAAAGCCATGAGCAACACCCAGCCACTGTTATGGAGTCAGTTTTGTCATTTTTTGTTACTGCTGTATGTACATATACTCACATACTGTAGTGCACTTCAGTGATATGATGTGAGCTGAAAGTAGACAGCAGTACAACGTATGTTTTAGTTCTTCTTGCAGTTAGCTGTACAGAATCAGTCACCATAACTGCTCGAGAAACTAACATTTAAATCGATGTCCACAACTCTGTAAGGGGCAGTTAACAGGTGTTAATTAACCTACATCCCTGCAATGATCATTTAAGAAAGTATCCCAGTGAAGAGTTACAGTAAATTGAAAATGGAAATCCCAAGTTAACCACTGTCTATTTGCAACACAACTACAGTAAGTACTGCTCAAATTTCAAGAATTGCAGAGCTCTAGCACCTTCCTTCTGTGCTTTGATGAATCAAATAGAGAATTCTCCTCTTTGTGAAGTAAGTTATCAAGTTTTAAATCATGCTTATCCAGAAAAATTGATCCTGACCTCATAACCAAGAATAATTACATCACATCTTCTTTATACAGATGCCAGCTGAGCACAGCGGAGACTGAAGACAGCTGAATGTAACAGGACGGCTGTTATGAACAGTTGCAAATTTGTTCATTTAAAAAGCTCCCTGGTGTTTCCAGAACTTGAGCAGAGATCTACACTCCTGAAAGTACTTCTCATTTTGTGTTCTTTTGCTTTTCAATAAAAAGTTATTGGCTTTTAGATATCATTTCAGAGGTCTGTATTTTACATCTTTCAGTGGCCATACTTAATCAAAAGTGCTTTTCAAGTACAGCATTCTCAGTAAGAAAATAAGATCAGACAGGGTGCTGGACCAACGACAGCTAAGAAACCTCTCATAATTCAAAAAGACCTTCCTTCCCTGGCAATGAACTTAGTCCTTGCTATGAGTGCAAATTGTGGAAGACACTTTCAGCTGCAATTTCCTCTTGAGATAATTAGATTGTCTGACAAAAACAGATGTATGACGTGGTCTAGCTTTGGTCACATTGCTGTCACTGACTGAAGTAAGAATCCTTGTTCCATATCCATGTCAAAACTTGTAGATAGGTTGCACGGCCTGCTAGATTTTTCCACTAGGTTTACACTCTTCAGCCTGCCTGGCTGTGATGACAACACAACTTGAAGCTAATTCCAAAAATCTATCTTCTGATTTCGTGGAGGAGGAAAGAGAAATACCTTTAAGACAAGAGCATCATTAAAACATGCAAAGGAATACAGATGGGGAAACTGTAAGGTTTCAAAAAGAAAAAGCATATACTTTAAAAGAAGATAAATGTTTTAAGTCCCTATCTATTTACCTGTTTATCCCACATAAGCATTTTTCCCCACTAATTAATGATACTGTTCCATTTTTTCCAAATCTGATAATGGTTTTAAACTTACATTCAAAACATCTGAGTTCCTCTATGACAAACACAGAGCAACACAACTTCTAGGTAAAAAAGACCTACCTGGCCTTTACAGAAAGGTGTGTGTGCAGCAAACAGAGAAATGTGCACATTCTTGATTAATAAGCAATCCTTTTTAATTGACCTATCTCTATGCTTCTTCAACTTAGCTGTTTTTTGGGTGTTTTTTTTTAACATTTCTACATTTTCATTTCGAGAACAGCAAAGATGACATCAACATGAACAACAAAAAGCAGAGTTTTCTAAGAGTTAGAAGATAGGCAGCTTTAATTTTATAATCTTTTCCTAGATATATTTAGATATTTAAGGCACAATCTAAAACCTGAAAGACGTTAACTGAAGAACTTCTACTCATATCAACATTATTATAGCCTTGTGACAGCTGCCCTGATGAAAAAGCGATGTGGAACACAACTTAGAAACATGCAGCCAAGTAAAGAAAGCAGAACTCAACAAAACTTCTTTAAAACAGTCTCAGTTGGACACAAAAATGCGAGGTGTAAGTATGAAACCACCTCTGCTTACAATAGATATAAAACCAGCAATAAAGTGGCACGTGATATTTGTACAAAATAAAGCCTTAAACCATACAAACACAATTTTCACTCCAGAAAACAATCATGTTATTTCCGATGATTAAAGTAAGCTGAAAAATAAACTCTCATTCGTGGACTGTAGAAGGTAACAAAGAATCCTAAGCAGATGGTACATAAGCTTGATTTCTGTGTTTTTCTCTTTTTTTTTAATCTAGCAATTCGCTTTAAGAGAGACAGCTCATAACATATTTACTTCTGGGGAAAAAGATGCTTTAAAGCAAAACCATGAAAATAGTAGCTGCATTTTCTTCTTTTCTCCTTTCTGTTTTTTTTGTTTGTTTGTTTGTTTTTGTTTTTTTAAATGAAAGCCCAATGTTCCTTTTAGTCATTTCCTCCACACAACTTGAGTAGGATTTTCCGGTAGTCTCCTGAAGTATCACCCTGGAAATAAACCCAGAAAAAGAAGAGTTGAAGGCTTGCATCCTACTTTTTTGGGGACGTGGGAGTTGGAAGGGGAAGGAAGAAAGAACATTGTCTTAAATGCCAAGCTACTAACTAAAGGAAAGGAAGACAGGGCTGAAAGAAAGCAGGTGTTCACTTCTTACTGAAAACAACAATGCAACAGCAAAATCTGCTCTTTCCTTTATGGAATGGAAAACATCAATAAGGGAATATATTTCTTTAGGTAATTAAATTTGGTATACAGGGTCAATTGCACATTCTGGAAAAGTTCAGCAAAAACCTTCAGTGAAAAGTTGTCTTTCGGCCAACAAAAGAAAGAAACTACAGAAACAGCAATACAGATTGCTGAACTCCTTTTCCCTGGACTCAGCATGGACTTTTTTCCAAGGAGCAGCAAGGGAAAGTTTACTCTTTGTTATATTTGAATGTTCAAAGTGATGCCCTGGCATTAAGAAATCAGTCTCACACCTCAGTCAAATAGTATCTGTTTGATTCGAGGGCAGCAAAAACAATGAATGTACATGCAAAAGTGTGGAAAAGATTTCATGAACAGCAGCAAACAGGAGGAGAAATAGCTGTTTACAAGGGTGGAAGGGTGGATAGTGATAGAACAAGAGGGAATGGCTTTAAACTGAGACAGGGGAGGTTTAGGTGAGATACTGGGAGGAAGTTTTTCCACACAGAGGGTGGTGAGGCCTGGAACAGGTTGCCCAAGGAGGTTGTGGATGCCCCATCCCTGCAGGCATTCAAGGCCAGCCTGGATGTGGCTCTGGGCAGCCTGGTCTGCTGGTTGGCGACCCTGCACACAGCAGGGGGTTGGAACTGGATGGTCACTGTGGTCCTTTTCAACCCAGGCCATTCCATGATGATATGATCACCATTCAGCTAGCTCTGCTAGATAAATGTCACCTGGTGCTTTTATGACTAAAAAGCATTCCCTGGGAGCTGCTCATTAACTGGACTTGGTTGATGAGGTTTGTCAACCCTTTTCAAAAGGCAGTTTCAGTTAGTGTATTATCCCTGAAAACCATTTTCTGGATAAAAATCTCTAGTGACAAAGAGATGTTTCAAGAATCAGAATAAACCCTACACAAAGTACAATCCACAAAATATAAAGCATTTTACTTTATTCATGTGCTGAAGGAACTGCTGTGCGCTTATGGACAATGAGAGAAGAATTAAGGAGTTACTTTAAAACTTTTTTCAACTCTACTTCCTTTTACTGCCTCTACAGAAGAGGCAGGGTTTACACCTATGGACACACTTAGTGAAATGATGAAGCTCTGCCAAGTAAATGGGAATTATCTGTTCCTATTCCTGATGTGTAAAATTTCATGTAATATTGTGAGAAGTGCCATATTCATCTAAGAGTTACTGATTTGTAAAAAGCTTCTGCTAGTTGAACCTTGGTGACTTATGGCCAAAAAGACAATATAGCTGCTGACAGAATAGCCAAGATTTGCTGGTGCACAAAGTATCCCCCACTATCTTTCTGGGTTTCCTTGTGAGTGCCACTAAGCTGCATCTCCATGTGAAAAACCAGAAGAATGCATAGGAACTTAACAGATTTGGCACCTTCATTACATGGTGAATGAAGCTTCCTAAGTCCCCACAGGCATCCTCAGGCAAATGAATTGGGCAAAGTAGTGCTCTAAGACTTACAGTGATATCTGAATAGAGGGATTTGCCGTACATCCGCTTGTATTCTGCACGTATGTCCAGAAGGTCAACCTCACTGCGTGACACCATGATTCGAATCAGAGTTCTGTCCTTTGTTCCTGCTCCCTGAAATAAACAATGTCATACATGAATCATGTGTGGAAATTGTGGATGATACAGCATGAATCAAGAGATCACCACCTCACCAAATGCCAGCACTTTACTAGCAAAACCTCACTGCTTTCACTAAGCTTAGCAGGAATGTAGCATATACATTAATAAATTAAACGTACTGGAAGTGCACTTCAGGTAACCCTCCATACTTAAACCCTATCAACAAGTCCTACACATACAAGTTGTTTTATTAAGGAAAGAAGTCTCCATAATAAAACAAGAAATCAGTGGCATAGTTCCATAGACTTTGCTAAGTGGATCAAGTAAGGTAGGTTTTTCCAGCCTTCCATCATACTAAATCTTAAGTCTTGTGTTCATGGAAAAAATTCATACTTCCAGCTCATTAGCTATTTTTTAATTAGTACCATTAAATCTGTACAAGGTGGTTGAAATATTCACTCCAATGAACAGTAAAATCATTTAAAAACATATGCTACGTTTATGCACCTTGACATAGGCACTTACCTTCATAGCATTCCTCAGCCTCTCAGCAAAGAAAGCTGGTGTGTTCTTGAGGCATTTAACTGCAAAAAGAAACAGTATAACTGAAGTCACGTATTCCTACCCAAATGAAATCTCACCATCTTTTTTCAAGCTCAGTCCCATGTTTCAATTTCACAGACAATATAATGCAGTTTCCATCCCTTCAGTTAGTCACTGAAACAAGTTTGTACCCTTTTACCTCTAGCAACCAGACTGTTACCTCTGAAAGCAAAGTAGGTTATGGTGAGGGGATAGGAGGCTCGAAGGAGAACTGAGTTAAGTGTTCTTAGCCTTTCCTGGATTTACAAAATTCCAGGCCTTCCATCTGCAAGGCACGGCAAATTCAAGACCTACTCTAAGTTGGGATGAGTTGCCCTACAATAGGAAGCCACCTATTATAGGAACTGCACCCTTGACTCACAGCTAGATATCCATTTCTTTAGCCACTAAGTTCACAAGGATTCTTGAAAAATCCTTGAAGTGCTTATTTACAAGTGATCATTTTTATTGTTCATTAGAAATCTTAAAGAACAAAACCCAATTCAAATTATTTTTATATTAATCTGTTCATTGCTCACTAGAACTACAATCTTTACACTGATCCTATGTTGGGTAAATAACCATGCAATCTGTGGCAAACTGAACAGAAAACAAACCATAACCAGCTTCTATTTGACAGCACAAGTATCAAAGCAAGACAGAACAAAAGGGATAAACCTAAATACATATTTCACAGCAACACACATTCTATGTCGGAAAAAAGTACTTGTCTGAACAGGAAAATGTAGATGAGAGAGAACACAGTTTAACACACAGTTGTCAGATACATACAACATTTCACAAAGAAATGACAAGTGAAATGCATGTTGCTTGATTGTTGTTAAAGCAACACAATCACACTAAAATGTTGGAAGATGACATTGTAAATTACCAGCTGTACAATCCAGAAAGCTTTAAGAAAAGCAAAATTGAACATTTTCAATTAGAAAACCTTTTTTTTCCTGGAAAACAAGATTAAAAGAACAAATGATGCCAGATACACATAGACATATATATATATATATCTATATATACATACACACACCCCTAAATAAAACAGAAGCTTATTCAACGAAGTTATTTAGTGGATATTAATGAAAGTCTATCCTCTAACGGTTGTTGGCTTATTTGAAAGTTACAGTCCTAATTCTCCATCTGCATCCAGAAGAAAGATCTGCTACTTGACTGCAAAGGTTCATGAGATCGACTGACTTACTAACTCTGACAGTTACGTTTCGTTACTGAGCTGGTCTTCTGCAAACAAACAATACTTCAAGTTAGGTTTTCTAACATGAATACTTATTGATATGATAGATTCAGAACCCTGGAAAAGGTCTGCAAATGTAACTCATCAGAGCTAGGCTCAGTCTGGGTCTTAAAAAACACCCATGCTGTTAAAAAAAAGGGGGCTACTGTGTCAAGTAGAGTAAGACAAATGGTTATATAGTTCACATATGCTTAAGACAGAAGTGAAAGAATTAAGCTCTACAAAATCATCTTTATTTTGCAAGATTCTGTTAGAAGCTTCCATGAAAGAAAAGCACAGCTTTGTTGCAGTTCAGCCAAATGTTTTCCTCTTATCTTACTCCTAGTGATAAATACCCTTATTTATTTCAATAGGAGTAGAATAAGCTGTGTTTTGTAGCTGTAGTTTGTTTGTTTCTCATTTCCTCATAGGTACATCCCTTTCCTTATAACTACCATAACTAAAAAAAAAAAAAAAAAAAAAAGCCAAAAACAAAACCAACAAAAAAAGCAAATTTAAAGAAGCACAAATAGATAACACAGTAAATACAAAATGATACGCAGAAAATAAATGCAAATGTAAAGAAGCATCTTCATCTACGAGACAGAGACAAAACAAAAGAAAAAGAGCTGTGTGACTTTGTTTAGAATAAACCACCCTAAACAGAACTGCTGCACAAGGTCTCAAGAGCTTGTCATAGCCCTTAGTGGAAACCAATGACTGGCTACCTTACAAAGGATAGAGGGGCAATCTGAGGTAGAGCTTTGCCCTTCGTAAGTACCAGAAACACTTACGAACAAAGATGCAAAGGAAACAGAGGAACCATATTTAAGTTTTCTCTCTAATAAAAACAAGTTAGAGGTAAATAATTTTAGTGCATTTTCCCTTATTTCCAAAGCTGTCTCAGATATTCCATTCTCACAGTGGCTGGTAGAACATTTAATCACTTACAATGAAGTCAAGTTAATAATTCTCTCTCCCCATTTTAACATTGAAAACTTAGCACGTGAGATTTAAATTAAGCAGCTTGCCCAAAGCAGAAGCCTCATCAGCCATTGAGGAGAATTAAGGCCTGCTTTCCACAGATGGCACATACCTACTGCCAGCATGCCTTTTTCCAGGTCTCCAGACATTTCACGACAGATGCTTTTTTCTATGTCCCTGTTACACATCCTCTGGTACTCACTGAAAACTGTCAAGAGAAGAAAGGTTCCAGGAATCAGTCTCACAAAGAGATGGCACTGGTGCATGGTGCATTGCTTTACTGTGAAAACAATTCTCAACTTGGTACTTCAGCACGCTCATAGAAGTTCTGAAATCTCGAAGATCATTTTAAACATTTTGTTCCATTTAAACATCACTGTGCTCCTCCTAGCTTGTCTAGTTCTGTGCTTATTTTTGAAGGGCAAGATATCCCTGTAAGGGGAAGAGTTCAATTTCTCCTGGGAAAGCTTTGTGTATCAGTAAAACTGAGAAAACACTCAGCTGCCCTTACCACTCCAGATTAAGCTAACACACCAGCAAGACAAAGGGGAAGAAGGACTGCCAAGTGTCTTGCATACACAAAAGGATGCAAAAATCGAACTAATTCTAATTTCCCAATCCTTTTATCAGAGTAAAATTTGAACAAATATGACCTCTACCAGCTCTGACATTTAAGAGAGATGATCATAATGCACAGCTCCTGCATACCCTTTTCTTCAACAGAATTCACCTCGCTTTCCGGAGTTATCATTACTCCCATTTTACTGATGGCAAAACACAGGCAGAGGGCAGTGTTGTACATTTCTATCATTACAAACAACAGAATCAATGTAATGTTTATGTAGAGGTCTGGGTACCCTTACCTGCTCTGAGGTGGGCCCTGCTTCTCGCACACAGAATGGCATTGAATTTGGATTCATCAGTTCCTAGACGATTCTCACCAGCTGCATATAGCTCCTAAACTCAGAAGAGAACGCACACATTATCAATCAGAAAAGCCATCAGGATGAAAAAATGAGTTACAAAAATTTCTTGGTTTAAGAACCACTGGAAAACAGGATCAGGCAATAAATAGTAACTAATCCCAAAACTGTTGTTTAAAACATATGAGCTCTGAATTACCCAAGGAAAAAAACAAAACATTTTAAAAGTAGCTGAAAATTACTCTTCCTAGGAGCACCTAAGTCAACCTTTATTTCTGTACCTCTAGGCATGTTTTGAGACACTCGTATCTCTTATAGCAAACCGTGTTGAAAGCTAACTGCATTACTATTTGTGTGACAGTATATTCCTGAAACGATCCATGGCTTTGTCTGCTGTGTGGTGAAACAGAACACACAAAAAGTAATAGGTGCAAAAGTTATTAGGTTCAACTGCCCTACTTGATGCAAAAAGACAGAGCTCCTGAAATGACTAGCAGCAGCACAACGGAATGACACAACAACCTTGGAAAAGCAGGAGATTTAAAAACCAAAGCAAATCCAACCAATCAAACAGGAAGTGGGGCTTCATTCCCTAGAGCCCCCTCTCTGAAATGGAGCCACAAGGCTCTAATGCTGTTACACACCTTCATAACCCTTCCACCTACTGAAACACAAGCACTACTACAGAAAAAGTCACAGCATATCCAAAACTAAGTCAAAGAGACCACATGTCAGTATACTGAACAGGCCATACTTACAAATAATGAAGATTTCTTACTGACCTGTACATCTTTTTGGACAAGAGACATGTCAACATTTGTACTTTCATCTCTGTTTCCCTGGAAGAATTTGAAGATACAGAAGTTTTGCTGGTGGGCTTTTTTTTTTTTAAAAAAAAAAAAAGAAAACAAACAACAACAGACAATACACACTGCATGGAAGTACCTGAGCAAGTGAAATTAAAAGCCTCTGAAAGTGTCCAGATGTGTCACTTCTTATTGCATCCTCCAGTGTTTTCTTAAATTCTGTAAGGGAGACACAACGATGAGTAGTCACACACCTCTGCTCATTTTCCAAATTAATGTCAGTCAATGAAAAAAAAGTAATGAATCTAACCTGCTTTATACACCCTGTTGAGTTCCTGAATATGCTCATTACCGCGAGAAGCTAAGATTTCAATGAGACAATTTTCATCTGTGCCAATGCCCTAAAAAAAGAAAAAGAAAAAAAACCAAAGCAAAAAAACCTCACAACAGCAAACTGTAAGAGAAAACACTTTTCTACCAGCTAATATGGAAATAATGTAAAAAGAATTAAGGAAGAATACACATATAGAGAGAATAAATACAATTCAGAGTGGTACACTGACACAGAAAAACCAAAAGCTTGTAGTTTGAATTTTGCATGCAACACATTTCCAAGACACAGAATGGTCAGCATTGGCTAAGAGTACACTTTACAGGTGGAGAAACGTACACAAAACCAAAAGGTGCATCCTGCTCCAAATCTTAATTAAATTAGGTTTTAGAACTATTTTTGAGTGCTGAGCATAAAGTCACTGGAAATTCTGAGCTGAGAAGTGCTGTCAGCTCCACACTGGCTGAGAAGAGTGTTACCACAGTGGCTTACTCAAGACTATGCAATAAATCAAGTGCAAAGTGCAACAGAACTGTGCCTCTGACATTTTTTCCATTTATTAATACATCTTTTTACAACGCAAGCCTATTAAATGCTCTTTTCATTAGTTATTTATCTAACAATTAATAAGATCTCTCAGTTTTACTATCATAAACCTCCAAGAAACGGAGTGAGGAGTAGGCTGAATATCTGAATGGAGAGTATACCTGAATACAGAGCTTTAAAATTACTGCCACAAATTTGATCAGCTCAAAATATTCCCCTCAATATATTCCCTCAAATATTCCCAAATATGAAGCTGTTTATCCTACACATACCTTTACAGCTTCCTTGATTTCATAAGCATCAAACATGATGGGTGTCTTCATCATTGCTAAGATTGTCTTCTCAAAGTTACCTGATAGTTCAGATTTGAGATCCTTGATCAAATCCTAAAGAGAATTAAAAATAGGTGATGAATATAAACAAATTCTGGACTTCAATTAAAATTCCTTACGTGCAAGCATCAGTAATGTATCACCAAAGTAAAGTTCCTCTACTTAACAACATTAAACAGGAAAAACTAACATACATATTATATAATTAAGGTCAAATTAAATAGATTGTACTGAAGGGCCGAAGTACCTAAGAGACAAACTGCTCTACGTAACTCATCAGAAATACTGCACTGAAATCAAGAGTAGATAAGAAGGCTACAGACTTATGAATCATCTTCCCCTTAAGCAACCTCTCATCTTCTTTCCCAACATTAAGTCTCCTGATTTTCAATTAAGTCATGCAGCTGATACAACAGAGGGAAGGGATGCCATCCAAAGGGACCTTGACATGCTTAACATAATCAAGTTCAACAAGACCAAGTGCAAGATGTCCAGAGACTGGGAGAAGAATTCATTGAGAGCAGCCCTGTAGAGAAGGACTTGGGAATCCTGATGGACAAAAAGCTGGACACAAGACTGTAATGCGTACTTGCAGCCTGGAACGCCACAGGTATTCTGAGCTGTACCAAAAGAAGAGTGGCCAGCAAGGAGAGGGAGGTGATTGTCCCCCTCTGCTCTGCCCTTATGAGGCCCCATCTGGAGTAGTGTGTACAGCCCTGGGGCCCCCAGTACAAGAAAGACATGCAGGTGTTGCATAGGTCCAGATATGGGCCATGAAGATATTCAGACGGATGGAGTACTCCTCCAGTAAAGGATGGCAGAGGGAGCTGGGTCTGTTCAACCTGGAGAACAGAAAGCTCCAGGTAGAACCCCTTGTTGTCTTCTAGTACTTGAAGGGAACTTATAAAAGGAAGGAAGACTGACTCATAGTGATAGGACAAAGAAATGGTTTTAATTAAATAAAAAGATTTAGATTAGATGTGAAGAAGCAATTTTTCACTGAGAGACTGGTGAGGCTCTGGAACATGCTGCCCACAGAGATTGTGGATCCGCCATCCTTGGAGACATCCAACACCAGACTGGATGGGGGCCTGGGCAACCTGGTCTAGTGCCTGATTTAGTGGCTGACAACCCTGCCTGCCGCACGGAGTCAAGGGTTGGAACTGCATGATCTCTAAGGTCCCTTCTACCTAGGCCCTTATTCTTCTTCTCTCATGATGTATTTACCTTTCCATAAGCTGTCTTGAAGGAAAGCATGATCTGCTGTCGCTGCTTGTTTGAGCGACTTCCAAGGCAATCTATAATAGCCTGCTCATCGGTTCCTGTAAGTGCACACAAACACCACAGAATGAGATGCCTGTCACATGAGGATTCAGCTTTTGGTTTCCATTAGACTCCACTTCTGCCAAGCCCAACACACATGCTTCTAACTCATCTGCTATATCTCCTCTTGCATATCACCATAGAACACCCAAGTCTTGTCAAAACCAATCAAAAATACACTGAGAATATAACAAAAACCAGAAAGAAAACCAACCAAAAACAACACCCCACAAGAACTAGCAAATGCCAAATTCACCATGTTGTTTTCATCTACATTCACTGCCATTAATTCCTCTGATTACCAAGTACAAGAGTGTGTGAACCAGCCTACACAATAACCATGTTAACAACAGCGTAAGGCAGTATTGAACCAAAGCTGCAATTCTACTTGAGTTAAATATCAAATCCACAGACTGCTCACCCAATCCCTTCATGGCCTTCCTCAAGACTTCTGCATCCTTCATAGGGTCAAATCCTGATGCATCAGTGATTGTGCCTCTGTTTCCATACTAAAATCATAAAAGTTTAACTGTATATTAGTATTAATAGGAATAAAACTACTTTTTCATTAAGAAGCAGACAACATAACCTTAAATGTTTGTTTCTATACCTGTATTATGCTAAAATGCACACTCAATTAAGGTTTGATTAAACTGTATATATAAATGTAAATACTTTGTTTGAAAAACAAAATTAATTGAATTTTAATTTATGTCTCACATTTCTTCTCTGATAACGCAGTATAATAGCATATATTTGAAGTCATAGATGCCTACATTGCTTCTATCTCCTGCTTTGTTCAAAATTCTCCTTGTGACTCCCTTTTCATTTTTAGACACACAAAGAAAAATGTAGAAAAACACATGCGGTCACATTTCAAAACCAAAGCACTGAATGCTCTTACTGCTCCAGGAGAGACTGCAGGCCCTGTAGGTCCTGGATAAGATGGATTCACAGCCGGGACTGGTGGATAACTTGGCATGGGCTGCTGCCCTGGGTAAGGTGCTGGTGGTTGTCCAGGTAATCCCATAGGCTGCTGATCAGGAGGCAGTGTGGGCTGGCCTGGTACGTTTCCTCCAGGTGGAGGATACCCCCCATAAGAGGGCTGCTGTCCTGATGGAGGCTGTCCAAAGCCACCTGGAGGTACTGGTGGATAACCCCCAGGTACTGAAGGATATATGCCTTGTGGTACATTTGACCCTCCAAACGTCCCTGCCATATTGGATGCCTGCAATGACAGCCAACAAATGAAGAAAGAAAGTGTACAATTAGCTCAATTTCAATGGCATTATTAACACAATGTGTTCACCTCCCCACGCCCTCCCCAGAAACACAAAGCCATTTCTTCTCTGCATGGCCATGTTAACATGACTACGGCATTATTCACATGGAAGTATTTACTGCAAGCAAACCCTGGGTGTTTAACAGGAGAAATGCATGCATTAGTAGTTTAAAGCAGCAAGAGTTAAGACTGCATTAGGAAAGACATCTGCATAAATTGCCATGTTGATATTGTTTGTGGAGTTAATTAACATCTTTCCCTTATAAAAAAGACCAGAAGAATTGACATTTGATGACTGCAATGTTCCCAGAAACCAATCGCTGAGGATATTGCTATGAGCACTGTAGGTAATTTTGTTGCTCATTCTGACAGCTGAACTCATTTAATTGCTACCTAAGTTATTGATGACACAAACTTCTTAGCATGCTGTGTTTTATAGCACATTTCTGGAGCCTAAATAGTTAGAAATACAAATCATTTACACCCTAAGCAAAAAAAAAAAAAAAAAAAAAAAAGTCACAGAAAATGTCTGCATTTCTTCAGTCAGTGTAAAGGGTTTTACTGCCAGTTGTTAAATATTACCAGAGCTAATCTTATGCTTTCTTCATAGATGAATCACTTGCCTCAATTACAGAACCTTGCTCCTTTTTTCAACTGGGAAAAAAGCAGGTAATAAGCTAAACCTGAGCTGTGTTTGCCAATATGAATGTATTAATAATGGACAGTCAGTATTAATCACATGTGCCCCTGCTCCTCTGCATGGCAAAGTCAAGTTTTATGTCCTTGGCTTTTGAAGTCAGGCTCTTCAGTCAAACTTTATCGACAGATTCTGCCTTTCTAACACAAGGAATACTTTGTGGTAATTATTTACTTTTTACTTTTTACTTACCTGTACTGAATGATCAGCATTTAAACAAAGGTTAGACAAAGGCACAAAATAAACCTGCTGTAGATTTGTCTACAGTACCAGAACCACAACTTTGCACTTAAAGAAGTCAAGATACATAGAAAGCAAGCAGACTCACCATTCCAGCCATGTAGCCTGGGTTGAACTGATTGGCATAGCCAGCCATATTTTCTAGACCAATAGGAGGTGGATTTGAAGGTGGATAGGCAGCACCACCCCAAGGACTGCCACCTGCAATCAAACACAGCTGTACTGAAACAAGACACTGCACCTTTTAAAGCCTCTTTATCAGCCTAGAGAAAACAACATCAACTCCCATCTGAATTTAGCAAGAAACCACAGAAAGCTTCCATGCCCAGAAAGCCCTACAGACTCATGCTTCATTTATTCCACCTTTCCACTTGTTAGGACCATTGGTCACTTAACAGTTAAAATTCATCTGACTGACTTACCTGGGGGTGGTGGTGGTGGATATCCACCTGCTGGGGGATAGCCTGGGTAACTCATTGCAAAGACCTGAAAAGCAGATGTGATACAGTCATTTTCTGCAGCACTTTGCTAATTATACCACATGAAATTAATAGGCACTACATTTGCAGCAGCCAGTCAATAAAAACTGGATAAAAACCAGATAAGTTGCAGAGGCTTTTTTGGGGAAAGCACTTCCCACTTCTTTTTTTGGACCAGTAAATATATTCAGATATTTAACCAGCTATACAGTCAGATCTTACTCATTTCAGTTAATATTTACTCCTCATTTTGTCTATTATGTTGTTAAGGATGCATCACTCACAAACATGTTACTGCATTACTGAAGCATCACCAAGTTAGCAACCTACACATAACAGTTCTGTTATCAAAAGTAGAAACATCAATTGACAACCAAGCTGCACTTTGGAATGACTAATTTTATGAGAGGCGTGGAGGAAGAGATTGAGGAGGAGATTGAGATGGAGACATCTGCAGAAGCACAAGAGTATGAAGCTGAAAGGACACATTTCATGCTGACAGCATTGTCATAGAGGGCGTACCAAAAGGAAATCACTGAAACTAACTGAAACTAATCTCTACAAGTTGATAGCACTTCTGTCAGAACATGCAGAAATGTACGAGGCCATTACTGTCCAAAATAGAGGTGGAGTGTTAAGAAGTGCCACTGCTTGGTGACTGGCTCTGCATCAGTCAGTGCGTGGTCAGTAACTGCACTGTGCATCACTTGTTTTGTCTATTCCTTTATACTTATTAGCCTCCTCCTTTGATCAAATTAAAAGGTTTCTTCTTCTCTTTCCCACTAGATATAAGTATCTGTATTTCAAACACCTCCCACCACACCGAGTACAGGCTATGGTACATGCCACACAAGTGTATAATCAGGAATTAAGTTTGCTACAAAACTGGACATTAAAGCACACATTTTTGCTCCTTGGGGGCAGCTGTCAGAACTACCATCATCCCAGCAAAACCCTGCCAGAAATTTGTACAGATACTGAGTTAAGGATATCCTGAAATCCTATCTTATGAATGGTGGTTTCACACTCAAAAGAAGAGGGGGGAATTGTGATGAATAAAGCTCATGGGCAGAGACAAAGGCAGGAAGGTCCCTCACCAGTTACCATCACAGGCAAATCAGACTCAGCATACAGAGTTTAATAATTCACTGCCTACATCTAACAGATGAGAGCAGTAAGAAACTAAAAAGCTACTTGAACCCACCTTCCTCCTATCCATCCTCTTGTACATTGTGCCCCTGAGTAGTGCAGGGGGATGGGGGCTGCAGTCAGTCCCTAATGCTGTCTCCACTGCTCCTCCATGCTCACTCTGCCCCTGCTCCACATGGGGTCTTTCCCTAAGCTCACCCCACGTGGGCTTACCAAAGATTACAGCTATTAAGGCACTGTTCCAACATGGCTTTATACCATGGGTCCATCCATCTGGAGTAGGCCGATGCAGCACAGCGCCCCACAGGCACCAGTGCCCCCAGGCCACGGCTAGCAAAAAGCTTTGTATCCTTGCTATGTTATTACATTACTTGGTGTAATAAAATCTGACCTATTCAAGGACATAGCAGGCCGAGATTCTGCTGCCTTTTCCCCCCAGCAGCTCCTGAACTAAGCAGAGCAGGCAGGTGCCTCTTTTCTGACTACACAAACCTCTGAAGCACACAAACACCACGAAAGACAAAGAAGAAAACAAACAATCCTAAACACTTAACAAAGGTGTTCCACTTTAATGCCTAGTCCAATGCATTTCCACTGCTTATAAGGTGATGTAACTTGCTGTAATGAGAAAAAAGAGTGTAAACATAGACATGGTAGTAAAATAATAATAAGCAAAAAGTTACTACTCATATCACTAAAAAAAAAACAAAAAAAAAACCAAACAAACAAACAAAAAAAAAAAACAAAAAACAAGCAACCAAAACAAAACCACAACCCAAAACTAAAAGGCACACAGCCAAGTCAGATCCCTAAAAGCATACTTATTAGTCACAATATCTGTATCTTGGACATCCCAATTACTGCAGCATTGAACGCCCCCCCCACCCACACACACTTTTTGAGTAATCATGGGGGATTGCTTGCCTGGTTTTACACATCATGTATACATACAATAATGATAACAAGATGCTTTTCAATACAGCCCTAGGTAAAATCCAAACGCAGGAAGGCTTTCTTTCTGTGGTGAAAGGCAGAGAAGAATGGGAGCTTTTTGTCCTAGAAGGGTTGCTTGCATGCTTTTAATCCTATGTGGAATGTTCCCTTCTGATAAAAAAAAATAATAAATAATGAAAAGAGTCTTTCAGCAATTAAAGCTGAGGTTGACGACTAATGGCAAACTTCATTAGCAATCTGAAAAAAATGTTGCTATATATAAAGAAGTTCCACTTGCTTCTTTTGAATGCTTGTACTTATCCAAGCCTTTTCACAGGGAATTTCTTCCACACTGGTTCAATTCCAGGCAAACCAGATTCACAAACACAGCAACTTCTCATGCTCAGAAACCTCCACCATCACCACTTCATCAAGCCCTGTTGGCCATTTCTCTAACTCAGCAAATATTTACCCTTCTACATTCAATTCCTCAACCACTCCCACAACCTCATCTCTTTCTCATCTTCCAAGCCCACCTCCCCAACTTTTATTCTGCTACGTCTTCATAAAGCTGTAAGAGGGACACTTGCTTGCTGACAATAAAAGGCCACAGAGGAGAGGATACAGGAGTCCACCACCCTGATACACAAATACTGTGTGGGAGGATACAGGAACACTGAGGTCTGTGTTTGCTCAGCCATAAAAGCAGCAGTGCGTGAGAGGGAAAAAAAAAAGCAAACAGAAACAGGGAGTGCCCTGAATTAAATATAGAACAGACACGGCTAAGGTCCTCTCCTCAGCCTCAGTGCTCACCCTTGAGGTAACTCCTAAAAGCTTGAAAAGACAACCCTGCACTTTGTTTAGTGGCTGCTGTTCAGTATTTAGCCTCCAACAATACCACATTCCAATAATCTGAAGGCAAAAATTATGAAAATATCACAACCTTTGTCTGTTCCAAGTTTTTAATCATGACTGCTTTCCAGGGAACACTAAATCAAGTTAACTCCTTGGCCTTCTCCTCTTCCAGGTGAATTGCTAGGATGCAGTAATAAAAGGCTGCCTAAAGCTATACATTACACAACTCCTCTCTGCAGAAAGCAGAGCCTGCTCCAAGACTGCTGATTTCACCAGAGATCAGAACAGCATTTGTCTCCTTACAGTATGCTGCAGATTTTCATCACAGCTCAGCTGTGCTCTTGCAAGACAAGGACAAGTCGCAGTCAGCATCATATCAGCTACCTGCTATTGTACCAGTCTAAGCAAGATTTATTTTTGACTTACTTAGCCCAATGCAGCATAGACGTTGCTCTCTCCTTTACCAGGTATAACATTCTACACCCTGTGAAACAAAGAGCCCTGCAATTGGTTTTCTTTAAAGCCTTCTGCCTGTGACTCCTTGACTAGCCTTCATAAGCTGTTAAAACAAATGAGATTAACAGCATCTGTTCCCCTTCCAACAACAGTCGATGTAGCTGAGTTCACATCAGCCAAAACTCAAGGAAAGGAAAAAACAGAAAAATGAGAAGCGTATAACTGACAAACATACTCAAGACAACAAAGCCCAAAGAAACTGACAAAGCTGTACAGGCTCTTGAGGTCCAGGTACAGCAATGATAGTTTCAGGACATCAGCTTTATTCTGGCCTCCTTCTCTGTTCTAAATCAAGTTCTTCATTCTGTAGCACTTCCTTCCAATGCTCTCTCTGCAAGACTTACCATGCAGTGAGTCCAATCATGTACAAAATAAAGAATGAGGTTCTATTACAGAGTCATCATCTGCCATATAAAATCACTTGTTGCAAGAACAGCCAGCCTATAAATAGCCCAAATGATGTTCTCAGCTGACTAATGCCTCAAGGATTTATATCAATCTATTTTAAGTTCTGCCATAAAAGACAAATTTCTGCATCCTCTGTGAAAAGCAGAACAGGTAAACAGTAATAATCCATTTCACAAAGCACCCTCTGTGGGGAATCCTACACAACTGAAGTGACAGTGCAGCACTCAGTACACCATAGAAATTACCAGAAAAACATCCAGCTGCTCATCTCCTGCCACCCATCTGCAACCAGCTGCTGTAGTGGACAGACCCTGCTACAGCAGCCTGCTGCTCCATGCTCATAGCCTTCAAGGCAACAGGAACTGAAGTTTTCCATTTTGCCTTCTGCCAACGCTTCCTACATGTACCTCTGCCCAGACTGCAAATGAAGCCAAACAACAACACAGAGTTCTAAAGGGGATAACTCCATAAAGAGAAGGATGCTTATCAGAGCTACAGGAACCTTTGTTAACAGCGGCACAGACAGGAGTCCTGTGCTGCATACCAAGTGTCGATGCAATGCCCCAGGCTGCTGGCTGTAGGACTCCACAGTGGGAAAGCAGAAAAATACAAGTTGGCAAACACATCATGTTTCTCTCAAAGGTGACCACTGTTACACTTTCTAGGCATTCAAAACTTACAGCTGTCCAGAAATGCTGGGAAACTCCCCATTCAGTGTAATAAACCAGAAAGGTGAGTATTTCACAACAGCCATAGAAGTGAAGTTAAAGAAAGCAAGACCATGGTCATCAAGTCTGTGTGGAATCAGCCAACTTAAGCACTTACAGCTTCATAACATACATTTATCCCAGCTAACAGAAAACTATTTTCAAACCACGGCCCAAGGCAAACAGTAAGGAGTTACATGGAGTACAGGTGCCCTGTTTATACAACATAACCCATTTCCCAAGCATAAAGTTGCTCTCTCCAGTAATAATAAAAAAGGGGTATTGGCACTGTCTTCTTCAGGCAACTTAAGCATCCAAGTTCAAGGAACTTGCCAGAGCTAAGTTAGACCTCCAGCATCCTTTTTTAACCACTACATTTGCCAACGGCTTTATGAAAGTGGATTAGGGAACTAACTTAATCACTGTGAACATCTCTTCATGCAGATATTGGCTGAATATACAAACAATCGTATATCAGATATACTTAAATGCTGTAAGAACTAGCATCAACTGAGGCCTTGTGAGAATCTCAAGCTAATTTGGATTTTTAACATGGCATTAATTTTGTTGGCCATTTTTAAGGCTCTCAGAAGCTGGGACCCAAATGTCTGTAGAGGTCCACCCCCCTCCCACCATGGGCCAGAGCCTAGTTCCACCAAAAGCCGAGACAAAGTCTGAACAGAGCTACAGAGCGGCAGCACTTTCCAAGCACGCTCAAAAGAGTTCACTGTGCAACAGAGGAACAAGGCTTGCTCAAATAGCCAATGCACAAAGACCAGGAAGCAATGCCTGGGCAGGCCTCCTGTCTGCTTCTTCGTTCTTAGAAAAGATGCTGGTAATGATTAGACAGCACAAAGACATTGCTCCATAGTATGGGCAGCCACGTAGTGGGGATTTTTTGTTTCTGAAAATAGATTGAAAGGATTGTGTTCCTATGATGCAATGATTAGCACTGGCCCAGGCTCACATCTGGTACAGGTGAGCAGTACAGGTTCAGCTTCACACACTTCACACAAACCAGCTCAAAAGCACAGGCAGGACAGACTGCCTGCTTAGCACAAGCACTTCATAGAAGTGACTTTTGAAACCACCTCAGCATGTCTCCACTCTGTCCCACTCAATGTTTGTCCCAAATTCCTACCTATATCTACCTTCCTGTATCTACAAGATCTTGTAGCTAATCGATAAAACCTAGAGCAAACTGCAATCAACAACAGAACAGGTACAATGAAAATATTTGGTTTACTTATCTACTACTCACAGGAGGAACCGCATTACGTTCTCACCACCCAGGGAACTGCCTGAGGGAAGTTCCACAGGATCTGCAGACACAGTACCATCTGTGTTGTATAGGGTGAGGACAAAACATTCCTATCCTGACAGCCCTCACTTGCCTCTGAGCACCCTGGGGACATCAAATTTGTACCTTCTCGCCATCTAAATTTGGATCTTTCAAATGGACTGTACAAACAAAGCTGCTGTCCAATGAGTAGCAGTAAGAAAGGGACCACCTCTGCTTCGCCACACAGCAACAGCGATCCTCTGACTTTAGCATAAAAAAAAAAACAGAAGGCCACATGTTTACAAAACATTCTTTTGCTGCCTTCTACAAAAGCAACCCAAAGAAAGTTTCCACATCCAGCTGACCAGCCTCCTTCCCACCCCCTCCTTGAGCTCATACCATACAAACCAAAGTTTGTATATCCAACAAGAATCTACATTACAAAGGGCAATATAATTGTAAGCACTAAAAACAAACACCAAAGAAACATCATTGATCCTGGTACCTAGCTGCATACTTCACTCAAGGTAAACCTTTAACTACGATTTGAAGCTGTCATACACATTTCACACACATTTCTATGGGTGACTGCACAGACCCTTGGCAAAATACAAGTGAAAGTATCGATTTATTCAAAGCCCTGCTATTCCTGTCACCATCACTGAAGCATCCACTTTCACCTTACTTCCTTACCCTTATCACACAGCACCAGCTCTGATCAATGCAGTGTTACTGCACAGACCCTCTGGACGCTACACCTTGTGCTAAAGGTCTAGTAAGCACCATCAGTTGTAGGCTTTGAAGCAGAGCAGCTCCTCAACTCGTCTTTATCTTACTGAGCATAGTACGTATTTTGAGCTTCCTAATATTACAGTCTAATATATATAAGTATATATATGTATATATATATATATATATATATATTTAGGCATCAAGTTGACTATACTGGCAATACAGCACTATCCAATATCTTCTTTTCGAGCAGAGATACGCTTCTGCTCTGTCTCACAGATGATTAAGTGGTAACAGGAGTTTAACAGCTTCCGTTCTAGCACTAAGAACACACACAGGGCCAGAAAAAGGGAAGTGCGTTGCAAGCAGCCTGCGGGAAGCTGGCTTAAAAAAAAAAAAAACAAACAAAAAAAAAAGTAAAATAAAGCACATAACAACAGTTCTCACAAGTGCCACCTTAGCTTCCCTCCTCACCACGCACAACAAAACCAGAAGCTCAGTACGCACCGAGGGGACACGTAAAGCACACAAGCGCGACTGCGAGAACGAAACCAGCAGCCAGGCAGCGGCCGGCGCTTAGCGCCCCGTGCGCACCGTCACCCCCCGCCCCCGTCTCACCCGGCCGCGCGCCCCCCCCCCCCCCCCGCCCCCAGCCCGCGACCGCTCCTACCGCGTTCCGCTGCCGCTCGGTCGCGCTGCGAGGCGGTGACAGAGCACGGTGGGAGGCGGCACCGTGACAGCTCCGCCCGCCCGCCCCGCAGCCGAGGCCGGGCGGGGCTCCTTCAGTTCCGAGCCGCGGCCATTCTTGCGGTGCGCCGCTCCGACCGCCCAGCGTGGGGTGTGAGGGGGTACAGCGACAGAGCTGCCAGCACGTCTTCCAGCCTTTATTTCAGGAGGGCTAGCACGGGGTGTTTATGACGTGAAACGTTCACTGGGGAACCCCGGCAGCTTCTGACTCGAGAACAAGGTCGTGAGATCCAGCAAACAGGCGTAACGAAAAGCTGCTTCCAGTGGAAAGTCTGCTTCATAGAAACCGCCCGGCTCCACCCGTCACACAGCACGCACGTCCCCTCCCGGCGGGCCGTGTGACCGAGAGGCTGCCAGACCCAGCGGAGGAAGCCGATCTCCCCTCGTCCTGGGCACAAGGAGAAGCTGGCTGCTTCGGAGAGGAATTGCTCAGGCATTTCTGACGGTAAACACGCCTATCTCAGCACTCACAGCACGCTGTAACAGGCTCACCCGCTTCACTCTACAGACCGTCAGCGTTCACTCGCTTTAGAAAATGGTGAAAGACAGTTACACAATCAGAAATTTGACTAGCTACTCAAATATACTCTTCACCTGTACACTGACTCAAAATTGGGAACACCACAGACTTTACAGGCCAGCTCTTAAACCTTCTAAGATCCCTTCCTATTACCAGCCCTTCACCTGCTTTGGAAAGCATCACAGAACAGAACTGTAGAATTGCTCAGGTTGGGAAAGACCTTCAAGTTAATCATGGCCAACTACAAGCTAACCACGCTACCCTATCATGCATACTGCTTCTTCCTAGCCAGTCTCCAATGGCAGCATGACAACTTCCACTTCATGGTGGGGGTAGACTGCTGTGCTTTTTGCCAGAGAACATCTACAAAACAGCCCCACCCAAAGCACAGTGTTTCCCATCTGTATGAAAATGCCACCAAACACTTCCAGGAAAGGTGGGAGAGAAAAAAAAAAGACTGCCTTGTATATAACATACACTTCCTTCGGTAAAATTCTGTGAGAGGTTTTGAGATGCAAGATTTCTCACACTGACCTTTACTAGTACAAGCAGTACCAGATAAACCGTTCAGTACAAGTGTTTCTGGTTTTCTCCTACATGCATTCTTTAAAGATGACTGAATCACTCACATGGAAGCATTTAGAGAGACAAAACAAAGTAAAAAGAAAAAAAAAAAATAGAAGGCCTAGCATTTAGCAATTATTATTTTTTTTTTTCCAAGATACTCATCAAGATAACATTTTCCACTGAATCACAGTGTTATACAACTTCAGCAGGGCAGAAACTTTTTTGCATCTCAGATTTTTATGCACAGGGTCTTGGAACCTCCTTTTTGAGCCTGGATTCCCTCAGATGCACATCCATTTGATTTAGAACTCATCTTGATGGACGTGTTCAATCTTCTTAAAGCCTGTGCCCTGGTTTTGTGGATGGGAACTGCAGTCAAAGCATTTCCATCTCTCTTAGGCTGTAGAACTGGCCAAGGAAGGAAAGCAGGCTGATCAGAAGACCTGAGAAATCACCTGAGTTTTTCTTTGATAGCTCCATTTCTTCAGTCTATCAACTAGAATGGCAGTCAAAACTGAGCTCCCGTGCCTCGCCTCCCCACCCAAAAGGGGACAGGTTAGCTTTAACATGAGTTTTGTTAACAAGTCATTTTGACTGAAATGCATTATAAGGAGTAGCTAACTCCCAACAGATGAGGACACAAGGACATCTACACGGGGTCATTCCTTCAAGAGGAATTTGGAAAAATCATTTCTACAGTTTCAGTCCTTTTATTTTCTGTTGTCAAAAAGCCCTCTGAGCATCACGCCTAGGCTAGGAGGGATATATAAGACAACTTGTACTACTGCAACCAGTCCTGTATTTACTCTGGAACTGGCTGTGCTTGTGTTAAAATTGATTGCAGTATTCCATGGATTTTAAGTACAGTTCAGGTTAAGGCTCGCTTCTATGAATCCCTCTATTTATCCTGCTTCTGTGGCTCTACATCTTTGATGCTACATTCATAAACAGAAAACTGAGCTAGCTACAGCAGCGTATGGAATATTTTTTCTGACAAGGAAACCATTGTGTGGAAACCTCCCTAGCTGCCATTTTCAGACAGGGAATGAGGCATTTGCTTAACATTTCATTTCTGGAAACTTTTCCACAGCAATGATAGCCTCAGTTCAGGCTCTTTGGGAACTTTGGCTGCAGCACGTTCTTCTTCCTGCCAAAGCTTTAATGGGCAGCAAATGTACCTGTCAACAAAAAGAAAAGATACCATAGTGCACATTATATCAATAAAAAAATAAGTTGCATAACACCATCTTTAAAGGAACACTTTGTAAAACCAGATGGTTATACTTACACGACACACATCAGAGCTATCTAGTATACTGGAAGCCATTTGTGAATTTGTAAAGGGCATAAAATACTAATGTGTCATTCTCTTGTATTCCACACAAGCATGAAGATCTAGCTCCAGTAACTTACTCTGTAATTCCTCAGCCCACTGTTTCTTCCTTTAAATTCTACTTCGCCCTTCATAGGCGATTGGCTCAAACGATTGACAAAGTTGTGCCATGAATTCCTACCAGGAGTCTCTACGTTTCTGACTTCTCTTTTTTGTATCACAAGCACATTAAGGAAACTTACCAGTGAAATAATTATTTCTTCATCGTTTGACTGACTGTTTATCTGAAACAGAACATAACTGCAGCAGTTTTATCCAAGAGCTTGCAACTAAAAAAGTATGCAGAAACATGCCAAATAGCATACGTGCTCATACAGAACTTTTATGTCTGGACTTCAGTCATCTCAGAAGGAAACCTAAACTTCAGTATCTAAACTAGTATTTAGATAAGATAGAGCTCTCACATACCGCGCACCACTTGAACAGTCTTACCTTTGCTCATATTAGCACTCTGTATTAGGATTTCAAACAAGATGTCTATGGCTAACAGCGTCACAACCAGTGTAAGACAGCAGGAAATGGGGCCTACAATCCTTGGTATCAGGGTAGGTGAGATTTTTTCATATTATCTCAAGTGCAGTCATACTTCATTATGACACTGTTATGATATTGAATATGTAGCAGTTAAAATTGCGAAGTCATTGAAGGAGAACCGACAAAAATCACAACAGCGTTTCCTGCAAACACTGCATTTCCCAACTGCTTCTAACAAATTTGAATTCCAACTTCATATCTTCCCAAGCGGATTGTGCCATACCAGCACACAAATCAGGATGGAGTGATGGAAACTACTATGTTAACAGCTGTACAGCATCCTCACCCTTGGTTCCAACAGATGCTGTCTTCTTCCTATTTCCATTTCTCAGCACTGTATTTCCATCACCAAAATAATCCATTGGTGAAAATACTAATATTAGATACAAGAGTTTGCAAACTAAAAGCAAGTAGAAACCACAACATAAGATCTCTGCAAGTTTTTTTGTTTGTTGTTGTTTTGAAATTGTCTGTGTCAGGCAGCATAGGAACTTAGAACCAGCCAGCCCATGATATTATTTGGGGGAGTGCCAGCTTGGAACTTGAGAGCTCCAGGTTGCCCCACTGGCTTCCTTTGTGAGCTTGTTGAAGACCAAGTCCTTGGAAAATGTATATATGTTTAGCCTACATGGATTTTAGACCTAAAGTATTATTTTAGATCTCTTCCTTAAGAGAGGTATTTCACAGACGTTCAGAGCTTCTTCAAGGTTCTCTTAGTTAATGGAGATTCTGGAAAGACAGTCTCCCAAATACTTTCACTGTTTTTTAGCCAAGAGAAACATATGCATCTGAACCAAGGAATAAGCATTTTTATTCTTCATTCTCCTAGGCATTCCTTGGTTTTAAACTTACCTTTTCTACACGCAGTTGCTAAAGCATGCAGCCTGTTACTCTTTATTTAATATTTCCCTCCCTTACAGCTGGGCCTTCAGATGAACCTCAACTCCACAAAACAACATCACACACATTTATTCCTTTTCTCCTGCTCAGTCTCCTGCAAGTGCTTTTTGGGCATTAGCACCTTAGGTTTGATAATGTTTAAGAGGCACTGTTATCTCTAGTCTGTTATACTCCTGAAAAAAAATTACTGCTTAAAAATCAATTTCTTGGAGCCAAGCTCAGATAAAATCATTTCTAGTCTATCTTCATTTTCTCAACATATTAACATCAGCAATGTTTAATGACTTATTAATGACCCTGGTCTGAAATACAGGTGATTTAGTATGTAGCATGACTTGATATAAGGTAAGGAATTCAACATCATAGCCGTCCAAAAACTGAACCAGAATTTGCAAGGGAATGTATGGACTCCAAGTTACCAAAGGGCGTCTACCATAGATCCATGTAGGTCTTCAGCATGCAGAATTGTTGCTGAAACTATTTTCTTATGCATATTTTTCTTTTCCCTAAAATAATCATGCCCTGAGCTTTGATCTCTGGGACTATCACCTTATTCTTAAGTTAATTCTATCCTAATTCATTATGATAAAAGCTAATTCTGCATCCAGGCAATGCAAGTTATGGAGTTCTACATGTGCATTTATACATTAAGTATTAGCTTTCACAGGAAGCAGAATGAAGTCTTGAAAAAACTAGATTCCCCAAGGAATAACAGATTACTATACATGTCATTAAACTTGTAAAGCATTACAATTAGACAGCTGTGTTTTACTGCTTGGTACACATAACCTGGCTTGCTTAGCTGGGCTGATACCTTGCAATGCACTTCCAGAGAGATCAGTAGTTCAGCCATCTGCAGTTGAGATTTTTCTCCTGATAGCTGCTCAGTAACCTTCCATTACTGCTTTTTATGCCTCTTGCTTATATGTTCCACTTAGGACTGCATCTTCTGCAAAATTCAAGTCAGAACTCCAATGAACATTTAATTCAGAGTAGCTCCAAGTAATAGAGTTGGATAATTGGAGGACTTCACACCACCCCTGCATGCACACCCCACCTACACCTGCACAGCTTAAGCTCCCAGTATGGGAAAACAAAGATATTTGCTGGTATAATTAAGCACTTCTAAATGTAATTGAATAGGGAGACTGTGAAACCCACCCAGGCAAGTTCTAGATCAGCCATTCATCCCCTACTGTTGGCTGAGGCAAGTTACATTAACACATTGTACTCTTGATTATTATGACTTTACAGCCCCACAAAGTTTCTGGATGGAAATTAACATAAAGACAGATACCCACCTTTTTTCCACAGTCCCCAGGAAATGAAAAATGAAGCAACTCGAGCAGTCTGACACTCAGCAACATTGAGAGTAATCAAATAAGGCCAATAGTTGAGCAGAGGACTTCCTCCTTTTGGAAAAAAGGAAAAGAAAGGCTCTCTGGTAAATACACAGCAAATTGAAACAACTTACCCAACTATTACACAATATTTCAACAGCACATTTCAAAACATTGCCTTCACATCTTCAATTGAAGGATATGTTCCTGGCAATAAAATTTCTGCGAAGTCAAACAAGAGCTAAGTTTTTCTAGGTCTCCCTGCAATCCATTATAGGCTACACATGGCACTGTATTTGTACTAAGCTGCCAGAGGTTAGCTGCAATGCTTATAACATCTGAGATCCCCTGTAGGCTGTATTAGACTCATGCTATTTACTACTGACCCTCAATTTACTTAAATGGATGAGTATTGCAGTGCCTTTCCTGTTACTTACATGCTACCGATTCCTTTGAGATCTGTCACAATGAAAAAACGTAGAATAAAAAGCAAATAAAATGCTTGCATTCTGACTTGCATTTTGACTGACATAACATAAGCTGTTACAAGTACCTACCCCAGTGACATCAAAAACTTGACCATCTTCACAGACACCACGCTCCAAAAATCCAGAGGCCTAAAAGAAAAAAGATTCATATCTTTAACCTACAGGAAGAAAGCTGATGTTTCATGAAGTCATACCAGTGACATTTTATCCTCTTAACTGACTCTCATTTCCACACGGTCTAAGAAATAGTTTAGGAAACATCTTAACTCTTTTATCCCCTGAATCCTACTGAAATAATCAAGGGCCAAATAATGAAACTACTTCAGCTGTACTGTGTATTGGTATATATTGCACAGAAAAACAAGAATTAGTTGATTTTCAAAACGAGTCAGGAAAATTAAGTAACTAATATATTTGACATGCACACCACTGCAATTTTACAAACAGAGTAACTGAAGGATGAATTAAGCTAAGAACTAGCATTTGTGTCCTCATATGTCCTCATCACATAGCTCACAATATATGCATGAGAACACTGTTAGACTGTGGGAAGACAATAAAATATTATTCTTCTCTTCTACAATGGATGAAGAAATAAATCAATTTACTTAATTTCTCAGGAGACCTGCAATGAACCACAGTCAACTGTTGCCTGTTTTGAGTATTTCTATCCAGAGGCTTTATTGAAGAACTTTCTGGAGGTACTTGTAAAATCTCTATCAACTTCAATACATAGCATCAAGCTTCTCTCCATGCACCCAGAAAGCCATTTACACAGCCATTGAAATCTACGCAAGCTAATTCATTTTATCTACTTACTCTTGACAGTTTTGCCCTCCTTGAACAGTAACTACACCAGATCTGAGTATTACAACAAATAATTCTATGCAAAACTTAAATATACATCATTTTTTCCATCACCAAGCTTATTAAAGAAAAATTATACACACTAGAATAAAAAAAACATACCTCCCACACTTTCCCACTTGCTAACTATCTTCAATCCAGTGTAACCTGCCTGACAGTTTCTGCATTTTACCAGCATTTGAAAATATAGGAAATAGCACAAAGGAAATTTAATCCTTCTGTGGAAATGAAACAGGACATTGTGCTGATGATTCAATTCCATCTGAGACACTGAGATTCAAATATTTGAGGGGAGGGGGAAGTTGATATTTAATTTATAGACAAAATAATTGCTGCTACATTTTTACTGCACCAACCTCCATCAGCATAGTGTGGGATTGATAAAACCCAACTGGAAACCTGAGTCAAATTATCCAAACAAGAGTACTGTGACAGCTTACTTCCTTCTGTTTGTAAGTGCTGGAAGACAGCACCATTCTTTTAAATCTGGATCTCTTTGGTGGCTCCCTTCACAATCATGACAGATAGTAACACATTGATGGAAGTTCAGCACAATGAATCAGCAGGCTTAGTGGCCATATAAAACAACATAAGAGCCTGTGTTAATTGCTGTTTAGATGCTTAACAAGAGCACAATGTAGAGGCTTCTTTCCTTTAAGTATTTAATAGCTTCAGGAGGGGTGGCTGGCTTACCTTCACCACCAAAGGTGTCAAGAAAGGCATTTTTAACATATTAAAAGCATGTAAGAACACACTAAGGAGTGGACTAAGAACCCTGCACATCTACACAGTCCCCTTTTATGTGCAGCATTGAAGTAAGGGCTTGAGAAATTTTTAACAAGGACTTCTAGCCTAAGACAGCAGGGAATTCATATAGATTCCATCAATTTTGCTTGCTAGTCCATATTATGACATTTAATCCTTAAGTAATTGCATCTGCTGAACTGAGCCATTTTTATGAGAGCTCTGAACAAGGATAAAATACACTGCAGTTAAAATTGGAAGCTCAGAAGCTAAGGGATGTAAATCTCTAGCACATTACCAGGATTTTAATTGCTTCACAAACATTCAAAACTATCAACTAGCCTTGAAGACAGATCTTCCAGACCTGTATTTGGCTTTCACATATTAAAATACCTTTCGTATTCTGAATATTGCGAAGAAGCACATGCATTCCATCTTCAGAAGGCACAGGAGAGCACAAAGGAAGAATCACAACACTTCTGAACTCAGGTAAGGCACGTGACCTGCTCTAAGCCATGGGATAATTTATGCTGCTTTACCCTAGGAGAAAACAGAATGCCTCCTCAAGTCTGTCGGCCCTCAGATGTCACTGTTCATCTGTGAATCACAGAACGGCCAGGGCTGGAAGGGACCTCAAGGCTCATGAATCTCCAACCCCCCGGCCACATGCAGGACCACCAACCGCCACATTTAATACTAGACCAGGCTGCCCAGAGCACCATCCAACCTGGCCTTGAACATCTCCAGAGATGGAGTATACACTCATAACTTCTTGGAAATAATCAGAATAAATGCTTAGCAGGCAATGTTTTGATAACACCCCGATTATTACACGCTTTTCTCTTCTTCCTGCTCTCATCCAAGATAAATGCATACATACACAAACACACAGATTTCTATTTCTGAGCACATAGTGCCATCTATATTCTCAAGGTATTTTCACAGTCTCTGCATGAAAACAATTGCTGTGCCTATCCTACAAGCTGAAAGCATTTAAATGCATTCTTTATCGCTGAGGGCCTCCAATAACACATACAAAAGGATTTCCTAAAACAACAGCTGATTAGGACTATTTAGCTCTATGGGTTGCAAATTTGAGAATCTTTCAATAGTCTTGAATGCCACAAAGCATTAGGCAGCCTCCTTGACATTAAGACTTTTAAAGACACATCAGAGCAGACACCAACTGAAGCATTTTATGTTTTTAAACCAACCGCTGTTTTGTTTTTTTTTTTTTTTTCCTTTCCTGTAAGCTCTGTAATCATTAAAGCCATTTCAAAATACAGGAACCATGCAGAGATTCAAAGAAGGCCCTCTGTAGAACCTGTGCCCATACCTGATAGGAAAAGAGTTGTGAAGGTCAACTTGGCTTCAGATAATTTGACCAGAAATGGATGTAAGGATGGACTTGTCTCCCACAGAAGCTGACAAAATGTGCGACCCCCTGACTTTGTGTTTCACTGGAAAACAAGTTCCCCAAATCAAAACAGGTTTCAGGAGGTGAAATCAATCACTTTTATTTGGGCAGTCCTCCATTAACACTATGTATTATTGAAAACAGCAATGATAGGCATGGGGCATGATGAAAGCAGTGTTCAAATACCTGTTGCTTTCCTAAGACCTGTAGTTTGCACAGGAGATTACCCCCCCCACTGCAGCTAAATAACTGGATTTATGAGACAGGTACACCCTAAACACAGATTTTTCACTGTGGAATTGCTGTTACAGTGATGGAAGAAAAATATTAGTATCATAAAAGAAATGCATTTCCCTTCTGTCCTGGGTGGGTGTACACAAGCACATGAGGACAGGTGAGCTGTAAATTGACTGAGTTGTAAATACAAAGATGTGTTGACATAGGCTTCTCCAAAAGTAACGCCTCCTATTTATTTCCAAAGAAACTACAACAGGTACAAAGAGCACAATGTCACTGTTTCATAAAGGAAATTCTCAGCTACAGACCACCATTTTTTCTAAAACAGTCACCACATTTGCTATGCATTTTTACCAGTGAGAAACAAGAGCCTAACCTTGTAAATACCTGCAGCAGCAGAGAACCCAGTGTTTCATAGCAGCTACATACAATGGCATTGTTGCTAGGAAAGCCTTGTCCACACAGTCCATCTATCATCAGCACAAACAATTGGAAGTCAGAAGGCACCAAATCCAGACTACATGGTGAGTGCAACAGGACAGTCCAGCCAAGACTGGAAACATGCTGTATCCAGGCTGGATGTGGCTCTGGGCTGCTTGGTCTTGTGGCTGGTGACACCATACACGGCAGGGAGGTTGAAACTAAATGGTCACTGTGGTCCTTTTCAACCCCGGCCATCTATGATTCTGTGTTCCACAGACATCAAACCCAAATCCAACCCAAGTATTAATCTGGTTTGCAATTCTACTTCCAGTTTTCTAAGCCACCAGATTAATATACCACAACATGAATTCAGCAATGAGAAAAAGCTAGTTAGATCATACTGTGCAACACCCCGAAAACACAAAACTGCTCTACGCAGCAAATATGCAAGTTCTTAGTTCTGAATTAGAAAAGGGAAAGATTTAATACCAATCTACTACTACAAAAAAAATACTGCAACTCCATTAAGAATCGATTCCTGACACCCCATCTAAGTTTCCTTTCACTCAATTTCATCTACTCTGCCCATCTCCTTAGACCTTCAATTACATTTAGGTCCTGCTTTTTGACTGGCAATTACATCAAGCAAATAGCTTTTATCATGTTCTCCCTTATTAGATGAAATAATAGAATAATTAAGATCACTGATTTCTGTACTTGTTTTTGCCAATTATTTTTTAAGCATACATGGGCCTATGCTGAGTACTTCACTTCAAAACTGCAAGTGGAAATTTCCTCATTACAATAATGGAGACCAAGTTGTGAATTTAACATTAACATCCCTTGACTTCAATGGGAAACAATATTTCCCAGGTCAGCATTAAACTTCTCCATGGCCAAACAGCATTAAGAACTCAAAACTATATTGATGTCACCTTTTAATTTCTCAAGATGGTAGATACATTCAGTCCAGCCCACGCAATGTTATCTGATCTTCCTTCCTTCATGTTACTAATTATTTTTTTTCCATTAAAAATCACTCTTTAGGCTTGTATACCAAGATGAGGCTAATAGGCACGCAGTCACCCAATCCCCATTTCATCTAAGTAAAAATGTTGCTAACAACTATGAACACAGACTATATTTTCATACTTAGAAGTTTTTTTCCAAGTACCTTTTAATTTTACAAGTAAAATATGGATCTCATTATGAATACAGTGTCACATTAGCATATGTTTACGGTGACCATGTAAATCACATTTATAACAACCTTTTCACCACAACCACTGCTGGTTGCTAACCATTCCTTGAAATGGTAGTTGGATCATAAACATGTCTTAGATCATAAACACCCAAATCTTATTACTCTTCTCAGTCTTTCCTTATAGAAGCTTGGCTGAATGAATATGTTTTAATTCCTCACAGCAGAAGTATTTTCCCCTGGAGCTGTTCATAAGGCATGGCCACACCATTAACTTGCTGTTACAAAGAACCATCAGCCTGTCACTGTCCCTGTGGTGAGGTATGCTCCCTTTTGTATCTTCAAGCTAAAGGTTAACTCAAATCTGTATCAAAGATTTCATTACTAACCCTCCATTCACAATCATTTGACCACTGCGGGGTGAAGCAGCTCAAATGCAATCCTTCAGGTAGGGTATGTCTAACTCCTTGCAAAGATTTCATCTCACAATTGGACGCCTCAATCCAAGACAGTTACAGAGTTCCATAATGATCAAATCTTTCATCTGTCCTTTATAAAAGAACTTGTCCTTGGTCTTAAATCTAAACACTGCTTGAGAGTTTTTTCTTTTTCTTTTTTCTTATGATATTATTCGGTTTAAGTGGAAAGAAAGCTCTATAATGGCACGTTACTGAAGCTTAGAATAAACTGACCAGAAAGAACAGCAGAAGAACAGCATGATGAAAGGCAACAACACAAAAGCCTAAATACTATGAAAAAAAATGCAGTTCAGTTTACAGACATAACAGTAGCATGGATGATCACTTAAATCTTAAGTTAAATCAGCAAACTAAGGAGGAGGAATGGCAGATTCTAAAACACCATTACAAAACAAGGGGGAGTGCTTCCAAGCTCAAAGAGAAGAAGATTAGATGAAATGTCAGGGGGAAGTTCTTTACAGAGAGAGTGGTGAGATGCTGGAACAGCTGCCCAGAGAGGCTGTGGATGCCCCGTCCACCCCTGGAGGTGCTCAAGGCCAGGTTGGATGGGGCCCTGGGCAGCCTGGTTTACTATTAGATGTGGAGGTTGGTGGTTCTGCCTGCAGCACGTGGGGGATGGAACTTGATGATCCTCAGGTTCGCTTCGAACCCAAGCCATTCTACAGTCCTATGACTGGATGTAGCTCCATGCTTTGCACTTACCTATTTGCCACTGCCATGTTCTGATGACTCCCTGTTAACTGCCTGATAAAACCAGCAATGGTCTCACTGGCCAGCTTCCATTAAGATGTTCACATCAAGTACAAGAACTTATTTAAGTTCAAATAGGCAAAATTGTGAGAAAGATCAGATAAATCAAGACAGAAACCTAACATGGTGATGTGAAAAATTTGACAAAGATCACAGAAAGCTTAAAGCAATACATTAAGTAACTAGTTGACTCAAGACATTCAGTGCAAAAGGTGAATGCAAACACTGGACTATCAATTCTGATAAGGTTATACACAAATAAAGTGAAAACCAGTTAATTTTTTGAAATGCTGAAATGGAATGAAAAGTACTGCAATATTAACAGGGTGGCAAAGTCTTTGGCTACAGCATATGAGAGCAAGCCAAATTGTAACAGTCTTACATACAGAAGCAAAAGACCTGCTTACCTTCAGAAAGCCCAAAATAAGCAGTAAACTCCAGCAAAACTTCCTCACCTTCCCCTGTCAACCCTTAAGTGAGGTCTGGAAGGGGTGGGTCCTGGCTCCAGCCCTTCTGTCCACTCAACTGGATTGTATGCACCTGGGCTCTTCTGGGTTGGCCCTGCCTTCCCCCCAGGTGCTCCATCACTGCTTCAGACCCTCACTTAGCATTTCCACTACAGTTTTTATGTCAAGTAACTGTATGATATGCTAGACCAATATCAGATGTGCTACATGACGTCTTGGATAGCTTTGGAAACCATGGAAGCCTCTAGCATCATTAACACTCCCTGCAACACAAGCAGACAGTTTATGGAAGCAAGATGACAGATGCTAAAGGAAAGCAGTCAGTAAACAAAGGGAGAAAGGGACCTCAATGTCTTAACATCATTCTCAAGCCAGAAAAATGCACACATGGACTCATAGTCCAGGATTAGCAGCAGCTGTGACCAATGAAAACTTTATCTTCACTATGGATGATAAAGATCTCAAACATCACTGCTTCAGACCATGTGACATTCAACTGCAAAATCCAGCATGCTCACCCACAGCAGAGTGCATTTAAATCAATGTATTGATTACCTGGTATGCAAGTGAAGCCTAGCAACTTGTTGTACAATTTTGCTTAAAACCACATAAAGGAGACCTTAGAAAATCCTCAGTAAGCTCTGGTTTTTGGCCAACATCACAGACACAGAATTAGTTCACACTGTGTGTGAAACATCTGACTTCCAGTTAGTAAAGCTCTTCTGTTCTGTTGTTAGGATACTCAGCTTCTTACCTGCAGCACGCAAAGGAACGCCAGGTCAGTTCAGCCCTTATTATTACTTACATTAATTTTTTCAGAAACACCAAAGGAAGGCAGTCATCATGTGTGACCATCTGATAGAGAAAATAAACGTATTGAAAACAATGCATAAACATGTAATATGAATGCAATCCCAATGGGGAAAAAATATGTTTCAAGCTGTGCCTTGTGAGGCAGTCATTGAGATGAGCGTGCCTTTCTGACCATGCCTAATGAAGTCTCTGCTTTTAAGTGAGGTCATTTGATCAAATCCCACAGATGAACCCAAGTAAACTAGTAGATTTAAAACCAGGCATGGACATAAGCACTCTAAAGCAAAGGATGATCTTTTTACATACATTGTGGTGTCCAGCAGAGATGCACTGAGACAGGGAAACATTAAAAACAATCAAAGCCCAACTGGAATACGCCAGTAAGGTTCTCATCTTGGTACATTTCTGACTTATTTTTCTGCTTTAGTTTAAAAGTTCAGGTCGTTCAATCAAAGCTGTGACAACAGCAATAACCAGCCTTGTGCTAATGGAAAAACTAGCTATTAGTTTGCTGACTGATTTCACTGAGCATTTTTGCCTCACTGTGCCACTGAGCCTTGCCTGAGACTGATTCGGACAGGGCTACTTCCACATCGTGTCCTTGGGCCCAGAGCTCCAGTATAATAGCAGTAGAATTTAGGCACCTACGGCTGCAGAAACACAGAAGATTTCACTGTGGATTCAAGATCAGGCAAACATTTAAATCCCTTTCTTATTTTAAGATATGAATACATATTTGTGGGATTTACTTCTTCTCTGAACTCAGTTGCCTATGTAACTCAGAAATGGTTCTTTTTCCTTTTCCTGTAAGTTCAAGGATACAAAATGCATTTTCTTGGCAAGTTTAACTTCGGATCTCTCTCCTGCATACACAGATTCTTCTCTAAAGAAATGATTACCTCTTCAGCAGATCAGAACAAAACCCAAGCCCCTCTTTGGATTCCAAATCCAGAAGTATTTGATTCTGTGATTCTGGGTCTTCCCATTTTGAGCGCTCCTTGTTCACGCTCATTTCATTCATTCATGTGTGCAATCTCCACGTTCTTCATTTGTACTGGAGCATGTTACAAGAAATTCCTCATTTACAATGCAAACAAATAACCACAACCCAGCCCAACAACAAATAGAAACAATTTGCAAAATCCACTATAGTACAGATTAATTCATTAGTACAAATTAGCATTTAGTGTAAATTGTGTCAGACTCTTGAATTTCAGTGGAAGGAAGAATAGAAAAGACTTCCAGAAATCCAATGAATCCAGCAGATCTGCCTTCTTGCTCTCTATGCATTTTCTTTCCTATTTATCTGGTTAAAAGTAAGTCTTCATATCCAGATTTGATGATTGCTTTCTAGGTGAAAGCAATTCTAGGTCACATTTTCCCTAAACAACGAAACCCAACTGTTCAGACTGAGCTCACACACAGCTACTGATGGCACACTACCAATGCGCAGTCACAACAGAATCCAAAAAATGCTCCATTGTGAAAATGCTTTGACTCCAAGAACTTCCAACATTTTGCTACAGAAGTTATGCACACCTTCAAAGAAAAAAGCAGCTCCAGCAATCTGGTTGTACTTCTGCTTTTATTTTAAATACATTCAAAAAATATAGCAATATTCACATATTTTATCAGATTACTCATCATCAAATACTTCTAAGTAGTAAAAAACAAAATATTCTTGTAGCAATTATCAAAAGTTCTTACAATGCAGCATTTCTACATTTGAAAAAGCATTCAAATATCCGATGAACATCGAATCAGCATTCCCAAATCCACACAAGAGAACACTGTCTCTCCAGCATGGTATTCCTCTGTCTCCCCAAATGCAGCAGCATTTTCCAGATATTGGCAGCACTTTGCCATGGGTAAAGGATATTTTAGAAATACAGCAAATCGGAATGTCAGCTTTAAAGACACACTTTGTCTTCATTCACATCACTTTGCAGTTCTCTGAAAACATAACTGGAGAACTCCTAGTCCTGTCAAAGACAGGATTTCCAGGTAGACAGCATTTCCAGGTAAATTCACTTTATGTCTTTAAAGCCACACACAGCACGTGTATAAAATGCTTTAAATTCAAATCTCATCTCTTCTTCCAAATGCTGCTACTCTTTCTGTGTTTCTTTTCCCAATCAGTCATGTCTTCTGAATTAAGAAGAATATTCTTATTCTTCTTATTCTGCTGCATCCTCACTAGAACCAACACGATCTGTATTTTCAGGTAAATACACCCCCATGCTCTGTAAAATGTTAGAGGTGGGTCCTGCCAGTCCAGCTTGAGCACTGTAAGATTCAAGCAGGTTAGTTACTAGGTTCATATCCACATCAACTGGTGTCAACTCAGCATCCTCCTCTTCAGAATCCAGGCCAGCATTTTGAGTTGTAGTTGCTTTAGCAGAATATGCCTGTAGTAAGCACAAGGAAAAAGTTTCATCAAGACAAATCGTATACAAAAAAGAAAAAATAAAAAGAGAGAAAAAAAGAAAACAGTTCTGTCACCAACAAAGTTCAGTATGTTCTAATCTGCCTTGAGAGAGAGGAACGTGGTCACCAAACACTCATGCCAGTTAAAAATCATCACTTTCCATTATGTGGATGATGTTCCAAGAGAAAGACACAGAGGGTTAGTGAGTCTTGGCTCAGTTTCCTACAGGAGCGACCCACAATCGAAACACAAGAAGTCAAACTGCAGCTTGCAAGGACATGAAACCAAGTCTTGGCATCAACGTGCACGTTAAACCCGAGTTATGTTTTGGTTTCAAAAAAACACAGTGGTGTACCTGCAGCACATTTTGCCTGCGCACAGGATTGTTGTTTTTAGTAATCAGCACATGGCTAGAGGACAAACACTGCTGATCACATTGCTCAGGATGACTTCTTTTAGCATATTTCTTCTTTCATAACAAATCTCTCAAAATGATTATGCCACAAACTAATATTCAAGGCACACTTACCCCTTTCTTTTGAGTGGTAAAACTTTTCCCAACATTGGTTTGTGCCAGTTCACGGTCCATTTCATCCATATATGACTTAAGACTGCCTATAAGTTCCTTAGGTGATACCTCCTCGTCTTCCCTTTGATATTCGGCATCTAGGTCATCATCATCCTCATCTGAGAAGTTGAACTCCTCCTCTTCATCCAGATCATCAGAATCCAGCTCTTCTGAGTCTGCCCCTGCGTGTTTTCATGTAAGCACAGACAGCAAGGAAATCAGCACAGTGGACATGGATCACCAGAAAACCCAGGGACACTAAATAAGCATGAGAAATTTCGACAAAAAAAGCAAGCAGTCTCACCCAAAATTCTGTCTAACGCTTTTGTAAAAGAATCTACATCAAAGGTAACGTTGGTTTCATCAGATGACCTGAAATAAAAAGTGTTTTCAATAAGCAAAGCTCCTATGCTTGCACAAGCCTAACACAGACAAGGACTGGGTGCCACACTGCTAAACGAAACAAAACAAGCCACAAAGCTAAGTAGCAGCTCTGGAAGATAAAGCATCCTCCACCACTTTTACCTGCACCAGAGCATGAGTGGTCACAGAGCCAGTTTAGAACCTGTTCACTACTAATACAGATGTTTGCTTCAGGCCTCTACTACAGAGAATACTTCCCAAATTTGAAAGATCACAGAATCACTGAGAGTGCTGTAAGTGAATGAAATCACATTCCACACTCGACTCCAAAAAATACCAGTACCATGGCATTTCTGCTCCTTTGTGTGTTGAGACTTTGGACACAAAAGCCTTCATACTTTCAGCAACTGCTTCCAAGTCATATTTCTGCTCTTCTTCATTTGTGGAACGGTGGGATTCACCTGTTGCCTCCTTCAGCATCAGATCCAGAGCATCAGGAGAAATCTCCAGCCAACTGTCATCTAGAAGAATTTAGGACATATTTCCTATTTGAGCTCCAGCCTGTTAGCCCACAAGTCCCAATCTAGATGGCTGAGAGCACTGTTAGCATTTTGTAGCTCACTTTATTTGCACAATTAAGTTTTCAAGATGATACTTGATAACACAAGGTGCAAAGTAGGCGAGGAGCTGAGATAAACAGAAAACATTTTGTTTTAGTACTTAAAAAATCATCCAGAAATACAGATGTGACCCATACTGAACACTGGCAACAGCTACAAGTCAGAAAGTATTAGAAC